GCATCTACCTTCAGCTCTGCTCTCCAAGCAGCTAGAAGGAAAAAAAATCTCTTACTGGCTTTTGGGTTTAAAACGATCTCCACCGCTGTGCCACCATGTCAAGGCTGTATCCTCACTTTGAACTTTAGGGTACAAATGTAGGGGCCTGAATGAAAACTTCTTAGCTTAACTACCAGCTTAGCTCTGGTCCCGCTGCCACCATTCCCACTGGATTCCCTCCCTGGGAAGCCTTGAGAAACCTCTCACCAATTCCCTGGTGAATACAGATCCAAACTCCTTGGATCTTAAAAAAGGAGAAATTGACCCTTCCCCCCTCCTTCCTTTCACCAACTCCTGGTGAATATAGATCCAAACCCCCTTGGATCTTAAAACAAGGAGAAATCAATCAGGTTTTTAAAAAGAAGGCTTTTAATTAAAGAAAAAGGTAAAAATCATCTCTGTAAAATCAGTATGGAAAATAACTTTACAGGGTAATCAAACTTAAAGAGCTCAGAGGACCCCCCTCTGTCTTAGGTTCAAAGTACAGCAAACAAAGATAAACACTCTGGTAAAAGGTACATTTACAAGTTGAGAAAACAAAGTAAATCTAAGACGCCTTGCCTGGCTTTTTTACTTACAAGTTTGAAATAGGAGAGACTTGTTTAGAAAGATGGGGAGAACCTGGATTGATGTCTGGTCCCTCTCAGTCCCAAGAGCGAACAACCCCTTAAACAAAGGGCACAAAACAAAAGCCTTCCCCCCCCCCAAGATTTGAAAGTATCTTGTCCCCTTATTTGTCCTTAGGGTCAGGTGTCAGCCAGGTTACCCGAGCTTCTTAACCCTCTACAGGTAAAAGGATTTGGAGTCTCTGTACACAGGAGAGCTGTTACCCTTCCCTTTATAGTTATGATAGGCATCAACAATTTTCTTAAACTCAGTTAACAGAAAAAAAGTTTGAAAACCACTGGATGAGGGGTATGTTTTCTGTTATGTCAAAGAATAATTTAGGATTGGAGTTAGGGGATAAGTATAGGATTCTGCTTGGGGCAAGGGTTCAGTATTCAAATTAAAATTAGAATCGGGACTAGAACTTGATATAGAGGACAGATTTAGGATTGGGGTAAGGTTAGAAATAAATGTAGGGTGAGGTTAGGGTTACATTTAGGGGAAGGGTATAAAGAAAAAACAAAAGGATGGTTTTGGAGAGCAGATGTAAAGTGATTCTTTATCTAGATAGGAGGAAAGTCGACAATACGGAATCATAGTAAGTGTAACTCTGACACCCTTCGGACCATCTTATTAACGCTATTTAATTGTCTAACTCACACCAAAATCAAAAGGAGGTAAAAGCTTAAACACCTTTACAAATCCATTGGCCCATTCAAACTTTGAAACCTCCTTGCCCCTGTTCCCATATCGCCCACCACCTTCCCCAGCCACACAGGATGTTCCCTGGTACCCACAGTGACACACCAATAGAAATTCTCTCCAGGTAGATGACGTTGGGGTGAACTCAGCACATTTTTGACACTTTTCCATGAGTCAACCGGTTCAAAGGCTTCCTCGGAGCGCGAACCCACAGGTAATTCAGGGGGGTTAGGAAGAAACTTCCCCTCTGAGCGGGAAATTCCACAATAACCCACTAGGGGGCAGCCTGGCACCACCCTCTGGAGTGTCTGTCACTGACCGCGGACAAAGACAGCTGGACTCTGGTCAGATCAGCCCCTGCAATTCCAGTGTCTCCTTTGTGCTGGGAGGGGAAATACCCAGTGATCAGGGGAGGAGGAGATGGGCTCTCACCCCGCTTTATACCCCGGGGCGCTGTGGCTCCCATGCCGGGTTTCACTACAAGATAGATGCATTTAGGGCCAGCTCCGAACCCCGTGGCAGTGAAGACAGTGATGGTCTCTGGTGAGGCCCTTGGAGCGCTGCCCTGTCTCACTGACACTCCCTGGGGGAACGTGCAGAGAGCTGGATTCCGCCTCTCACCGTGTCAAATGCAGCCACGGCCCAGCGGGGCATCTCCATCCAACCAGACCCGTTCAGCCAGCCCCTTTCATCCCCATCCCTGCTGCGTGAAACCCGCATGCAAATCCCTGCCCCGGAAGTTTCTGTTTAAATACCAACCCCTGGTTCTAGGAGCCCCAGTCTCTCCCCAGACACAGAACTGCCCAGTCCTGCCCGCTGGGGAGTTTCCCTCATTGCATGAAAGCGAGAATGAAATCTCTATTGCTTTTCCTTTCCCTGTTCTCTGCCCCCACCTGTAAGTGTCTATGAGGCAGTGGGGGGAACTGGTGACAGATCTGTGGAGTGTCTCTGTGGCTAATGCCTTTCTTGCTTTTTTTCCCAGGTGTCTTCTCCCAGGTGCAGCTGGTCCAATCCGGCCCGGAAGTGGCAAAGCCCAGAGAGAGCCTCGCATTGAGCTGTGCTGTCTCCGGGTTCTCCATCTCTACTCAGTATAACTATTGGGAGTGGATCCGGCAGTCCCCTGGGAAAGGGCTGGAGTGGATGGGAGGGATTAATCCATATGGCAGGAGCACGTCCTACATCCCGTCCATCAAAAGCCGAGCCACCATCTCTGCAGACACTGCCAAGACCCAGTTCTCCCTGCAGCTCCGCTCGCTGACAGCTGCAGACTCCGCCACCTATTACTGCGCCAGAAACACACACAGTGACACAGAGCAGAGCAGGGACTGGCACAAAAGGGGGAAGCAGTTTCTAAATAGCCCAGGGAGGCCACAGTTACAGGGACAGTTGAGCGCTGCAGAGAAACACACCCAGAGAGAGTGACCTGACTAGGAACAAAATACATACAAATAGTGTTTTTAAAAACCCAGGCAGAATTTACCCAGTTTCTCCGGACACGCCTCACCTTTGAGCTGACACAAAAATAATGGGAAACTCACCGATAAAACAGAGGTATTTCCTTCCTTTCGAATGGCTATCGGAGCGGGCAGGGAAAGAATCCCGGAATTAAGAGCTACAAAATAATGCTCAAGCTGATCTTTCTGCTATGTTTCCTGGGATGAAAGAAGTAGGAATTCATCTCTTGCTACTCCCAGTCACAACAGCTACAGTTGAGTGTTCTTTTTCATCATGTGTTTTGAAAGAAGTCGCCTTCTGCCTGATCATGTGAATGGACTAATGAGCATATCAGTTGAAGGAATGGAAGTACCTGACACATGGGAAGCCACCAAAGATGAATGCATTGCATTCAAGAAGTTCATGAACAGAGTTATAAAAAATTATAACAAGAAACCAAGGATGTAGATGTAGCGCTTCATAGAAGGCTTGAGTGGCCAACTTTAAATTGTGTGATGATTTTAAAACATGAGTTAAATCTAATAAAATGGTCATGAAACATTTTTTCACTTTTGACTATGGTATCATCAGGGCCAGCTCCAGGCACCAGCCGACCAAGCATGTGCTTGGGGCCGCACCTTGTAAGGGGTGGCCAATCTTGGGGTGGCAGGGCACTGCTCGGGTTGTTGTTGTATTTTTTTTTTTTTTTTTTGGTTCTGCTGGGCAGTGCTCGAGGGGGTTGTTTTTGTTTTGTTGTTGTTTTTTTCGGCGGGGCAGGGCGGCACTGGGGGGGTTGTTTTTGTTTCAGCACTAAAACTAACCTTGCAGAGAACCAGACTGCCAGTGTGAGCCGCCGAGAGCAGCAGCTGCCAGCACCGCGTTCTGTCCGCGTGGTTAGTCTTTTGATTCATGCAGATTCCACAGCAAGTTACAAGCCCTTGTGAATTATACTCTGTTTCACCCAAAGTCACACAGTGAATCAGAAATGCTGAGATGGAAAATGGAACCCAGGAGTCCTGACTCCCAGGGCCCTGCTCTACCAATTTGTCTATCATTCTGCTCAGAAGTGAAAGGAAAGACCCCAGGAATATTCATACCTAGACTCACGCTATAGCAACTAGATTATTCTTTCGTCCCATGGCTGGGGAAATAAACACGGAGTCTTTTTACCGCTGCCTGTTGAAGATCCTAGAGCCCGACTATCATGAGCTATGGAACAGAGCCCAGGCCTTCTGTTTCATGGAGGACAAAGTCTGAGTCAATGGCTCAAGGGCACATCGCTTGAGAGCAAACAGCCAACACCTCACTCTGGCTCTGTGCCTGCACCGTGCTGAGCCGGGTAAATCTCTTCCCCCTCAGCCCATTGATAAATCTCTGTGGGTGAAATTCACCCCAGTGTCGAGAGCCCAGCACAAAGGCCTGAACCCTCGTGAACCCGCCCTAAGCATGACGTGTCCTTTCAATATTTCACAGGCCCGGTCCTGCACTCTTTATAGGAGCCAACTTCTCTGTTTTTACCGCATTTCCCATAAGGTGCAGCCTTCTCTGCCTCTGTGCCCCAGATTCAGCCTCATAGAACCAATCCGGATTTTCCCCTGCTCTGCCCCATGTGGTCCATTGTTAACCTCTGTGAAGCAGATGGGATGTGGGCCTGTTCTGATGTTCAGCGCCTCCTACACTTTCAGAACAGGGGCAAGTTTCACCTCCCATTTCTAGAGTCGATGTCAGCTGATATATAGAACAGGGGGAGAAACCCAATTTGTCAGGTGACCAGAGTCACAACATAAATAACCTGCTGATGAAGACTCCACAGGAACGGGTCACAAGCATTTCACAGGCTGAACTTTATTCATCTCCGCCAAGCCTCGGTGCATAGAACGTCAAGGTCCCTTTCCGAGCCATTCCCTGGTTTAGAACTAGGGGCTGAACTAGACCAAAATGTTGCTCACCAGGTATCTCTGCTATAGCGAAGGACAGGGGAATTGTCAGTGGTACTAATATAGGCTGGTGCCCTAATATCGTTCACTTTCCATAGGACCTGGATACCAAAAGTTCTCTGTTAAGGACACTGTTGACTCTGATCAAGTATCGGGCAGTGTATTAAGGACACAGTCACACACCCTCATGTCTGAGCTCCAGTTTGGGGATTTCAAGTCTGGATTTATCAGCCCCTTACTGAGACCAGGATATGCAAATAGGGTTACTTAGCTCCCTGCTAAACCCTGCCCTTCCCCCGACCCTGCAACTCTGGCACTGAGAAGCCAGAACCTTTTGAGGCTGGGTAGTGAAAGAGTTAATCCCTGAGAACCCCGGACACAGTCAGAGACACGCAGGGCCGGTGGAAGGATGTTTCGCGCCCTAGGCGAAACTTCCACCTTGCACCCCCCCCGCCCGTCCCCGAGCCCCCGCCCTGAGGCACCCCCCGCTGCGGCAGCTCCCCCCCTCCGCCCTGAGGAGCCCCTCCCGGCGGCAGCTCCCCCCTTCCGCCCTGAGGCGCCCCCCCTGCGGCAGCTCCCCATGCCCCCACCCGCCCCAGCTCACCCCTGCCCGGCCTCCTTTCATTGTCCGGCTGCACCTGGAGAGACAATCCGCAGCCCCTGGGTCTGTGCTGTTACCCCCCTGAGAACTCTCCCCTCACCCCAACACCAGGGAAATGAGCCTTTGGTGCCATTTATTTTTCCTTTTGTGAACTCCGGAAGTGGACTCCCATTCAATGCACTGGAGAGACAAGAAAATATCAGGCATCGCTCCAGGTCCAGGCTCCGCAAAGCGACTCAGGTTAGTGACCATGAGTGTTACAACGCTGTTCTTTCAGGCACCAAGAAAACTACAGGAACCTGAACCCCTGGAGAGACCGGCATCTAAGAATGGGATTCACAGAAACCGGCGCAGTAGGCAGGGAAGCGTCGAAGCTAGTCAATGGGAAATTCAGAGGAGAAGTGTGCCCTAAACTCTCTCCCTCTCACAGAGACAGTCTGGGCTGCACTGCAGTTATCTCTGCTGGCTCTTCAGGAATGGGAACCCCCCTCTGGAATCAGGCACCTTAGCTGCCTCAGGCCCTTCTTGTGAGAACGGCACCGAGCACTGCACAAAACGGTCAGGAAAAGCCAGGTTAGGCACACAGGCAGGGTTCGGTTCTTGGTCAGATTTGCAGTAAAACATGGAGCACTTTATCTTCTCTCAGGAATAGCGGATGAGGAACCTAGGGTAAATTATAAAGGTTCTTGTCACTTTATCCTGCATAAGTTAAAGTTTTTCACTGTTTGAAAATCCATTAACTTCCGTGGAGTGACCAGTGTTTTACAGCTGAGGGCGGGGGAGCAGAAAGCACCAATACAGAGCAGAGCCCTGCCCACCTCACTCCAACCGCTCCTCTCCTTGCAATTCACCAGGGAGCTCCGGGGGGTGAAGTGAAACGCGATTGTCCAGTGTGGTGAAAGCTACCGGGGAATATTTCCCACCAGACAGAGCCCAGGTCGGTGGAGCCACCGCTTCTGGGAAAGGGGCTGGGCCGGGGCTTCAGTCCCAGCTACTCCCCAGTGCCCAGGGCATTATTCTGTCTCCAGGGGTGTCCCAGCCCAATGGAACCCTGTGACCCGACCCCTCACCTGGAACTGACCCCACTGACCTGCCGTACCACAGCCCCACTACGCCTGCGCGGGGGTTCCAGGGCTGAGTCTCCCACCCCTCTACAAACTGACAGCAATCGGGCCCTGAAGTTGTGTCCTCCCCTTTCCCACCCATCCCACTCTCACTGCCCCTCGAGGAGTGGTAGAAGAATTCATGATATATTTAGTTGGTTTTTTATCATTTCATTGCAGCTCAAGTCACACACTTTACTAAAACCACCACGAAAACAAGGAAGAGGAGCTGACAGGGAATGTAGGTAGAAGAGGTGAGAATCTATAGCAGGCTAATTAAACCCCAACTATAACAATGCAGCTACCGGCTGTATTTGCCAATGAACAGCCTCAGATCCGAGCACACCGCTCCGTATTTCTGTGCCAAATATGGACACCACAGGACGGTGATCCAACCTATTATAAATAGACAGAAAGAGATTTCTGCTACACCTGGATAATGGCCTTTCCTCCATCTTCCCGGTGCTCCGGTACATTATCCCTTGGGAATCAGTTAAATGAGAGGGTTTTATTTACAGAAGTGGTTTTAAAGGGAACTACAAGAGTTAGGCCGTTAATTCGCACTGATGCTCGCACTCAATGCTTGCTGAGCGCCCGACTCCCTAGGTGCCTTTGAAAATCGCACCATGAGCGAAGGGCCAGAAGTGTGAACGTGGCACTTATACACTACTTTTAAAATGCACAATGCAGTCAGAGATTGTTTGGGGGTGAAAACTGCAGACAAGCTAAAAACTTTGTCTCTGATTTTTTTTATAAAGCAGCCTAAGAGAATTAGGTGCCAACATCCTTGGGGCTGTCAGTGGGAGTTAGAAACCTAACTCCATTATCCTCCATTGAAATTGCAGGCCTAAAGATCTACTTCCGACCCCGCCTTAAAAGATAGGAGACGTTTTTCACATGTATCTGATTCCAATAATCACAAGTAATTTAATTTGCTTCTCTCCTGCCAGGTAGCCAAAAATTCTTGTCTCTCAGGGCCTGCTCCAAAGCCGCTAAGGCCAGTCTGTTGGGATGCTGGAGATGGGCGGGCAGAGCCTGCCCACTGCTAAAGGACCTCCCCCAGCCTAAGGGGAGGGGCCACAAGGTCCGGGATCTCAATTAAGTTGGGGGGCAACTAAAGATATAACGGGGACGGGAGTGAGGTCACAGGGCTAAACGCAGGGAACCAGACAGGGACATCGAGCAGAGAACCCCGGACAGCACCCACTGCTCCTCCAAGGCGTCAAGG